AAGTCCAGTTGTAACAACAATTTGAAATAATGTGCAGCCATTGTCTGTTGGAATTTAGAAAGCTAGGAGGCTCAAACCGTCAATGGCTCATTTTACCTGATGGCTCAATTCAGCTGATATCACCCGAAATAAATCTCCTCTCACCGGAAGTGGGCCTCCCCCAGGTAGGCCTACTCTTTGAACCACTAGAATTGTTGACATGTGTCTGATTCCACACTGTGACAACAAAGCAGGTTCTTCCAGTTCCCTGCCACAGCAGAATAGGCGGAGATCTGGAAACACACAGGATACAGGAGCACATACAGAGTGTGAGAGAGAGTCAACAGGCACTGACAACACTTTTCAAAAGAAATCAACAAAGGTTATTAAAAAATGTGATTTTTAATTTGCTCTTCTTGGACCTGCAGTCGTGGGTTACTACACGACCCCACGCAACACCGACTTGCACAGAACTTTGGTTTAACAGACAACAACAATAATGATAATAATAATGATGATAATAATAATAATAAACAAAGTGGATGTTTCAATCGTAAACAGATGTAAGTCACGTATAACTCAAAGTGATGTTACCTGATGGTTGCCACTGGTAACCAAATTGCTCTATTATCTTCTCCTTCAGCTGCAGCACTGTGATGCTGCTAAGCTGCCCCTCGGTGTCACACAGGTTGATGATCCTCAACTCTCTCCTTATGACACACACCTCGAGCAGGATTCCCATGTCTGTGCTGTTGGTGGCGAGTTGCTGCGCTCCTCTCGTCTCTGCCTGCGTGTATAAAGGCGATAATGCACGTCATTAAATATCTATTATGTCTTCACAGTTGATTACAATTCTTCCTCTGTATGTGTGTGGTTTTTTTTACCGGTAAAAGTTGTTGACTCCTTCCTTCTTCACACAATGTTTTGTTTGTACGGGAGTAAATAAAAAGGCTTCTCGGCAGGTTGTGTTCGACGTCAAATAACACAGAAACTGGCGAGCTGACAAATACTTTCACTTTGATTCTTGAAATTAAAGAGACAGCACCAACACCTCAAAGAAAACTTACCAACTTAAATCTTGTCAGCCTCTCCTGGAAACACTTACTGTAATTCACTCTTCAGACTGGTGGTTTTTAAATCTCTTGGATGTATTCATGTTAAAGGGAAACTTTATGAAGGGATTCAATTATTAAGGATGAATTTCTCATCAGAGATCAATTATTATCACTTAAAGTTTTTCATTCTCTTCTTGTCCAGTTAAAACCACACATTATTAAGTGTTTGGATTTTTAATATTTGTGATAAACTGGTTTAAACAGATGTATTCCAGCTAAATAAACTCTTTAAAACCTCCTCGGCTGACAGCTGACAACAGGGCTGTTTTTCTGACACCATGAAAAGTTGACTTTTTAGAGATGCGTGGTTTCATATCTGCACAGGTCTGGCCCAGCAGGCAAGAAATAGCCTATACTCTGGTATTTTATTTTACATTACACTTTAGGCAGTTTGAACATATTTGAGTGTTATATAATTAAGTATTAATGCAACTCAGGAGCCAGTAATTTACTGTAGACTACTAACCAAGTAGTTGTGCATCGAGATACAACAACTGCCCCCAGTGTTGTTTTAGAAACGCCTGGAGCTTCTGCCCCAGTGGCAAAATAGAATATGCAGGGATGAGACCACGTTAAAACTAAAGTAACAAAACTTTAAGAACTTTCTGCTGTTTATTTGTAAACTAACACACACACACACACACACACACAAATTCTGTACATAAACAGCAGGAGTGAGATTGAGAGGGGCCCCTCAGAGGGGCTGGATCAAGGCACTCTCCAGAAAAAAGACACCAAAGATAAGATTGTACACAGTGGCAGACATCCATATTTGCAAGTAGACAGAGAAAAAATAAAATCAAAATCACCAAATATCAGTGGACAGTTCACTCAGATAATTCATGGACATAATACTGTGGACGTAAAAACAGACAGCTTTCTTGAATTGTTTAGGTGCCAACTTTAAAGGTACAGTGTGCAGCATTTTCAGTTGTTTATTGGCAAAAATCAACGTCATCATTGGTGTATTATTACCTCCACCAATAATCTGACTTATTCTCGTAATAGGAGAATGTCCGATTTGTTTGTATATTGTGCTGGTAAGTCTTCTTGGGGGTTCCATAATGTTTCGCCATCTTGAAAATACATCCGCCAGCAAGGGACATGTAGCCCCGCCTTCGGCGTTTTCGTTGAGAGCCAGGCCAGCGCTGCGTGACTGAGGAGCCGACGGAGGCGCTTTGCTACAACCCCGGCAAATTTGAAACAAAGTCCCACTCTTTGAGCATAATGCAGGATCATGCATATGTAGCATCACGGGAGACGGAATCCTCGTCGCCAAGAAAGCGCAAAAGGGAACCAAAAAGGCAACGTGAACGGCAAATTTAAAAAACGTGGGTCAACATAGGGGTAGCTTTTCCCAGGTGGAGAGATCTGCTGAAGGAGAAAGGTTTTAAAAGTGACGCTGTGATTGGCCTGCTGGCCTGCCTGTCATTTTTTCCCAACAGGCAGGCCAGCAGGCCAATGCAATCACAGGCCAGCGCTGTTGTCAGCAGCGTAGTGATGCGAGGAGAGGGATGAGGTGTGTGAGGTTGAGCCACTTGTCAGTTGTCAAAAAACAAGACGTGATTGGTTTGTTTCGATTTACACCCACCCCAACAGTCCTATGTTGTAAACACAGCCAGCATGGTGAGGAGGGGGTTTGTCAACACGAGTCGCATGAAGAATCGGATGACATGATTTCATCAATGTTATCATAGCTTTTTGGTACACAGCGGCTACCGTAGTTGCAATACACGTTTGAAAAAGTGAGGAGCTAGAGTGCGCTATCTGTTTGCCCTGTGAGGCAAATTGTGATTTGTGATATTGGGCTTTATAAATAAAATTGAATTGATTGAATTGAATTGAATTGAATTGAATTGATTGAAATTGATAAATTATATTTATTTCTATTGTTTTCTCTTCTCAAACTCAATCAAGAAAAAATCACTACAGTAAGGACTACAACTTACTTTTTAAAGTTATCCACCTGGAATGGCTGGTAATCACACTATTGATGAAACAAAAAACCAAACATAAAATGATGAATCAATTTTTGCACTGTATATACTGTCATCAACACTGGGGTTTAAGTAATCAGTCTTACCAATGTGACCCTCGAATCACTGAAGTTATACCATTGATCATTATCTTGAGATTTGATCGTTGCTGTGTAATGCCCACTTCTAAGATCTCCAGAATGGTCCACAACTGCATACAGTTCATACGTCTGATTCTGATCACCAGTGGAAAACATTAAAAACATTATTATCAGGAATGAAAGAAGAAACATGTCGTGGTAGCAGAATATACTGTATTCATACCCCAGGTATCTGTAGTGTGTAGGGCACAGCCACAGTGCAGTTGATTTTTACATATGCCATGTATTGGTAGTCAAACTCAAACCTCTTCAGCAGCAGCATCAAAACCTCTGGATGATCCTTTATTGCACATTTCTAAAAGAAAGTTCCATCTTGTTAAAATGCACACAGTGAACTCTTATGGACACTCTTAATGTGAGTTAATGTGCACAAATCAGAGACACGTTTTCTCATTACTCACAATCTTAGCATCAGATTTGTCATCACACTCGTCACAGTACATCTGGTTTTCTCCGCTGAGATCCAAATCTCGGAAAAACTCCTCAATACCATTCACCTGATAAAATGCAGTTGTGTCATTTGTGACTGAAATGGACTCTGTGACAGATGCCCTGCAACCCAATCACTGGAATAAATGTTGGCATTGTACATACTATCTGCAAACCACGAATATGTTACATTTGTGCATTTCATATGTGTCAAAAATTTACATTTCAATTTTCAATTTCACGCTGTGGCAATACTATGACTGACATGTGTTTAGGTTACGGCACACAAACCACTTGGTTACAAAAACATAATGTTTTAGCTCAAAATATCTGGTTTGCATTTATATGCTACGAACACAGCTGGACATGTTCCAAACTCTTATCTCAAAAGGCACCATTTGGTTGCTAAAAATGCGGCTCAACATGATCCGAACTCTCGTTAAAAAACACCCACTTTTGTGGCTACAAACACGGCTGGAAATGTATAGAACTCTCATTAAAAAATACCCGCTATGTTGCTACTAACATGGCTAAAAATGTACTCAACTCTCAGTAAAAAATACTTGCTTTTGTCGCTACAAACACAGCTGGAAATGTCCCAAACTCTATGTAAAAAATATCCACTTTTTATTGCTACAATCATGGCTGGACATGTCCCACACTCATTAAAAAATACCCACTTCTGTCACTACAAACAGGGCTTAAAAAATGTCTCGACCTCTCATTAAAAGATACCTGCTATTGTCGCTACAAACACAGATGGACATGTCCTGAACTCTCATTAAAAAATACCCACTTTTGTCACTACAAACATGGATGAACATGTTCCCAGCTCTTGCTAAAATTGCCCCTTTTTGTGTCTACAAACACAGTTGGACATGTCCCGAACTCACCTGGGTTTCAACATCTGCCATCCCCTCCTCCCGCTGATGAGAAACTCAGCTCATACAGATGCAATCTGAACTAAGTCATAACAATGGCACCCACAAATGTAACATATTAATCATGGTTTGCAGAACCGTACAATGCCTAATTCATTAATTCATTCATTAATGTCTTCTCAATGAGTTTCTGATATATCACAAATTCATGTTAATGGTGTTTCACTAGATATCTCCTGGCAACAAAAATAAATGTGTCACAGTTTGCAGGACCTGAGATTCTTACCACGCTGTAGTCCTCACTGTAGGACTCCACCAATTCAAGAGGAAGATGCCAAAACGCTCCATCAGATTTCGTCTCACTGAGACATGTAGAACATTCAGTCGTGCGCGTCAACTGTCCACGAAAGATCTGAAAGCACACAAGAACAGAAACTGGTCAACATGTATTTCTCATTTAATGCACAGAATCCCTTTGATGATGTCTTCTCTACCTTTGATGCCTCAGGACTGGTCAGACCTAAAATCTTCTCAAAGCACTCGGCAGCGTCTTGCTGTTCATACACTGAAGAGGGGAGAGCAGAAATCAATGTGCATGTCTCGTGCACGCACAGCCTTTCAAATGCTTTGTTGTTCTTTGTGTCAACACATACTGTACCTCTCTTGATGCCCAGGGGCCTGTATCACGAAGCAGGATTTTGTCTTAGCGAGGTAACTTCACGGTTCAGTTCTTATCGGGGTAGATCACCATGGTGACTTACTCTGAATGACTATCCTGCTCCGGAGCAGGGTAAGTTCAGGGTTGAATCTGATCCTATAAAAAGCACCACCCACTGGCCAATCAGCTGTTCGGAAAAAAATGACTCCACTGACAGAAATGCAGCCCAGTCATGACGGGAAGTTTAATTCATTTCATTGAATTTGATTTTAAAGTTTATTTTGAACATTAAAAAAGAAAAGAAAGCAACAATAGACAGTGAAAAGATTGTTCAAAAAGGAGTGGAAAGAAGTCGAACTTTCATCCCACCCCTTCATAAGAAAGAAACTGATCATTTGCGGACACTTAATAGCGCCATTAATTAGTGCCAACATTTTGTTTTGTTGGAGGAAATGATCCCTGTTAAAGATAATGGGCCTAATTGACAGCTTTGCTGCTGGAAATGTGGAAAGTAGCCTATCATGTCTACACTTCATGGTGTTTGAGGGATTTTCCTTTTTGTTTTTTAAAGAGGGA